CTTTACGCCTCCTGCTAGCATCTCCTCCAGCGGATGGGTTGCTGGAGTCGGCAATGCTCGTCGCGAGTTTCCTGATATTGGTCGTGGTGACTTTCGCTTGCCTGCTATCCATATTCAGCATGCGGATGGCGACACTGTAACGGCTCTCGAGTATCAATCTCACGACATCTCACAGGGCAAACCTACATTGCCCGGACTACCAGCCACGTATGGAGAAGCTGGCGATGTTACCACTGTGACTGTACATCTGTACGACAATGTGTCAGATGTCTCGGCCGCACTTTTGTACTCGATTTTCCCAAAGTACAATGCTATCGCACGTAGCTTTACTATTACGAACAATGGAACTGCAAACATCTCGATTGAGAGGGCAGCGAGCTTCAGCACAGACTTTCCCAATGTCGAGCTGGAAATGATTGAGCCTTATGGCGACTGGTCTCATGAATTCCAGACTGTACGGAGACCGATTGACTTTGGCGAGACTACGTGAGTATTTTCCGCAAAAAAAAACTCAGAATTGTAGCTGACGGAGAGTAGATTCCGAAGCACTGCTGGCTACTCATCGCATCTGCACAATCCTTTTTTCTCACTTGTATCGCCGACCACCACCGAGTCGACTGGAGAAGCATGGGGATTTAGCTTGATTTGGACTGGCAGCTTCGCCGCGACCGCTCAGCGCTTCTCCAACGGTTACGTACGTGTGCTTATGGGCCTCAATCCAATACATGCAAGCATCCCGGTTGGACCGGGTGAGACTTTTCAGTCTCCCGAGGCTGTTGGTGTTTACTCGTCAGAAGGTGTAGGAGGCATGTCGCGGTCTTTCCACGACCTCTACCGTAACCATCTCTCCCGCTCCAAGTTCACGAACCAGACGCGGCCAATTCTGCTCAACTCATGGGAAGGCTTGCAATTTGACATCAACGAGACTTCGCTAGTAAAACTTGCTGGTGAAGCAGAACAGCTCGGCGTCCAACTTTTCGTCATGGATGATGGTTGGTTCGGTAGCAAATATCCGCGTGACAACGACTCGTTTGGTCTTGGTGACTGGACACCCAACCCGGCCAAGTTTCCCAATGGTCTTGGTCCGTTTGTTGACCAAATAACCGACTACAAGGTATTGAACGAGTCAAAGCCCATGCAGTTCGGCATCTGGGTTGAACCGGAAATGGTCGACCCCAACTCGACATTGTACCATGAGCATCCTGACTGGGTCTTGCATGCGGGAAAGCACCAGAGGACTCTCACACGCAACCAACTAGTTCTGAATGTCGGGCTTCCAGAAGTACAAGAATTCATCATCAACAGCGTCTCCAACATCCTCGACTCAGGAAACATTAGCTACGTAAAGTGGGATAACAACCGCGGTATACATGAGATGGCGCACCCATCCGACGACTATAAGTACATCCTGGGCCTCTACCGCGTCATCGACAACCTCACCACTAGCTACCCCAACGTCCTCTTCGAAGGTTGCGCCTCAGGCGGTGGCCGCTTCGACCCAGGCCTCCTCCACTACTGGCCTCAATCCTGGACCTCGGACAACACGGACGGCTCCGACCGCCTCACGATCCAAATGGGCACATCCCTTGTGTACCCGCCCTCTGCAATGGGCTGCCACGTCTCCGCCGTCCCCAATGGACTCACCAACCGCAACATCAGCATCGAATACCGCGGCCACGTCGCTATGATGTGCGGCTCCTTCGGTCTCGAACTCAACCCCTCTGAACTCTCCGCCGAAGAAGCCTCGGCCGTCCCCTCCATCATGGCCGCCGCTAAAGAGGTAAACCCCGTCGTCATCTCCGGCGACTACTACCGCATCGCGCACCCCGCGCAGTCGAATTGGCCTGCATTCCAGTTTGTGAGCCCGGATGGCGCGAGGAGCGTCGTCTTTGCGTTCCAACAGGCTATGAAGATTAAACCCGCCGCGCCCCCCGTCAGGCTGCAGGGTCTGGATCCCAAGGCGAGGTATACGAATGATTTGGATAATGGGACGTATAGTGGGGCGACGTATATGAATGGGGGCATTAATGTGATGTGGGAGCCGATGGATTATCAGAGTAAGCTGATTTGGCTGGAGAGGGTGTGATGGGGCGAGTGGTAAAGGTATTTGATGTCCTTATGTGTTAATGAATATATGGTTTGTATTACTGCGTGTTGTTTTTACGAAGCGTGCAGTAAACATATGCTTTGTCGTTTGAAAAGTGCTGCGCTAGTAGGACTAGTGGTGAAACTAAATGCATAACGTACTAGCAGTTTACCAGATAGAAGCATTAGAGTTTGACGTGTCGACTACTGAATCACTACAACTTTACAGATGAGCAAGGCCAAGACAGAAGCACACGTGTATCATATCAAGCATGAGAAGCAAAAAAAAAGATTGAGCTTGGCACTCGATGCCATTGAGATATATACAATTATAAAATGAAGATGTACAAGATGAATTAAGAAATGGTTGGCACCGGCCTCTAGCCAGCACATCAGTCGCTTTTTTTCCTGCAAAGAGAGTGTCTTAGCGCTTAGCAAGAAGCGCCAGCAGGAACGTTAAGGCAGCTGGAGCTCTTCTTTCCACCAGTGATGCTAACACCGGACCAGGACCAGGTGGAGCAGCTTCCCTTTCCGCAAAGGACGTAGATATCAGTACCAGAGCCGGTAACGGTACCAGCAACGTTCTTGAGGGTAACATCGGTGATCGGGACACCAGTGGTGGGCTTGCCAGTTGGGCTGCCGTTGAGGTAGTCCTGCTCGATGACGATGCCGTACTTGGCGATGTTCTTGAGGGTAATGTCCTCGTAGGTGATGTCGGAGACGGAGCCAGTGGCGCCGGAAATGGTCTTGATGCGGACACCGTTGTCCGAGTTGGCGATGGTGGTGCCGCTGACGACGACGCCCTTGACGATGTTGTCTTTGCGACCGCCGACAGAGCCGATGGAGACACCATGACCGCCGGAGCACTGGCAGTTTGTGACTTTGATGTTGGTGCCGGAGTTGATGGCGACACAGTCGTCTTGGTTCTTGACGTTGGCGTTGGAGATGGTGATGTCACTGGAGCTGCCGATGTCAAAGCCATCGGTGTTGTGGCCGCCGGCTGTGTCGCCTGCGCTGTTGTCGATGGTGATACGGTCAAGAACCAAGTCGGTGGCACCGTTGATGGAAAAGCCCTGGACGGGAGTGTTCTTGACGTTGAGTCCGCTGATTGAAGATGAGGTCAAGGAGTGAGCGTAGAAGAACTTAATCGATTAGTCAGACTACGGTTCAGAGTTGTTTCAGTGAACTCATCGCTTACATTGGGCTTGGTCTTGCCTCCGTTGGATCCCTTTCCGTCCCACCACTTTTGACCAGCGGCATCAATAGTGTGGCCGGCAGCACCCACCACCTTGATGTTGGTTCCGGAGACGGAGATGAGAGGGCCTTCCCACTCCTTGTATCCAAAGGTCGTTGTGCCCTCGAAAGTGACAGTGGTACCGGACTTCAAGCCCGTGAGGTCCAGGGTGGTACCAGCAGGAACAGTCATGCCACTGATGACAATATTCGTGCAAGAAGCCTTGTTCTTGATAGCCGTCGCAGCATCAGTGAAAGTGCATCCAGCGCGGGCATCAAGACCTGATGGTGCGGCAAAGACGAGCGCACCAGCGCTCAGAAGCATCGAAGTAAGAGCATATGCGACCATTGTGCTAGCTGTTGGAAAATAAGAACTCAGAACTGAATATGTATTTGTGGAATCAAAAGAACAAGAGAAGGAGTGTGTTAATTGGTGCTGGAAATAAGGAGGCAACGGCACAGTACTTATACAAGGACTCCAAACAGGAGGGGGCAGTGGAGAATGGCTTCCCCACAGGTCTCGTTAAGCTAAGTGTAGCTCTGGGATCTCGGATGCTTGTCGGTCTAGGCAATGCTTGACATTGCGCTAGGATGTGTTTTGGATGGACATGAGTAGTAAAGAAGCGAAATGACAAGCATTGGAGGGCCCACATGATCGATTTCTCCGCGTCACAGGATGATTGTAGATTATATCTTCGTATTCTGGAAGATTTCGCTCTTGACCGTACACAAGTATGTGTCCTCTGCACTCTGTCAGCCATCAGCGCTGCGAAGCGTTCGGTGGATCTTCAAATTTCTCATCTCAGATTGGCAAAGCAAGCCGACAGTGACTGTGCCGACCCATGCTGAAACGAAATTACAGCGGTATGGTGAAACATGTTTTGGTCAAAAAACGAGACCCAGAAGCGTGGCGTTGCTGTGGCGTAGGGCCCTAGCCAGCACGTGGGTGCCGGACACGGGTTACGTACTACACTGCCGAGTACGACCGATTGACGGAACAACTAGCTTAATCTATACGAAGGGGGGAGTGAGAGAGGGCCCTGAAAACCTTCAGCAGACACCATCAGCCGTCCCGGCACAGCGGGTTATAGTGGTTACCGAAATTCTGGTAGGGATCGCAGCATTACCACTTCTCGTTAGCATTGCCTGTTTCTACGATTAGGAATATATCGCTCACTCTTGCAGTGCCTATTTCTCGCATTTGTTAATATGTGTTTAAATTGAAACCCCTTAGCGCCATTTCAAGCGGCGCGCCACGCGGCCTTACTGTTGGTCGGTGCGTTCTCTGGCACATTAGACATCACAACATCAAATGCTCCCACCTTGAGAAATTTGATTTTCGACGTGTACGGCTGGTGCTGAACTATGTACTGTGACTCTGTTCAAGAATGGGCCGACATTTCGGACGAAAAAGATTCTATTGTAGTACCAAGCCATCCACAAACACGCACCATGCGACCCAGTTTCGCAGCAGGAGCTTCGCTATCACATCCACCTTTGCTTTTATTCGCGCGATTACTTCCGCATCAGAAAATGGACAGAGCATGAATGGTCCTTCTCTAGGCGCATTCAGGTAATTCAGGAGTCAATCGGCACACCAGAATAGATGAAGACAACGGGTGCCGTATATCCTCAAATCAAGCTCGTAGAAGCGGTATTGCCATATGGGATCATCTTGCGTACTAGTACTTAGGCTTGTTGATCGCCCTTCCAAAAGCGGGGGCTAGTGCGGACATCGAGTAAAGACAAACCGATTCGTGGACAAACCCAACTCCAATAAGCTTGAGGTAGCCCGCGTTCAGAGCTCCAACAAGACTCTGTATTTTGGAAGTTGGCAACAAGTCTTCGTACGTATACGGATTACGTGTAAGAGTTGAATCGTAATGCCTGATGCGCTTCGATATCAGTTCTTCAGGAAAACCTCGGATCAGCTGGCGTGCATTTTCTATGGTCTCCTGGATTGACGATTCGGGGAACAACATCGCATTGGGAGTAGTGAGCAGGTACAAACGTGCTCTTTGAGCCACCTTCTCTCTGAAGCTAGCAAATGAAGGGTATACGGCTATCAGATAAGTGTTGTTCACCGCCCTTGGGATATCCAGAAGCATATGCCTCAGTTTTCCTGCCATTTCCTATTCGAATTGTTCCATGTATCGAATTCGGGGCTTTCTTAGCTTGATCTCTTGCATCGGGACAATTATGTTGGAAAGTCTCGCCAGGGTTGCTTTCGGTACTTCTGTGTCGAATAGCAGGTTATGAAAGTGAGTGACGTAATCCATAACGGGAAATCGGGTAATCAATTCAGCCAGAGATAAACCTGGACGAGAACGCAACTGAGGAGGCGTACTCAACAGCTCGAGGTCCTCGTTACTGATAGTTTTGAGGTGAAAATCAAAGCTAATGCTGTGACGTACGGCGCCTGGATCCTCACCATCGTAGTACAGACACGCACAACGTGAGTCGTAAATTATGACAACAGGCGAGTCACCACAATCCTGCTCCTGAGCACATAAGCTTACAAGTGGCCGAGGCGTCGTCTCACCGGCCAGAAACACAGTGTGTCTCTCCAAAGACCCTTTTGTCTTGTCCTTGCACGTTTCCCATACCACGGTTATTCGGATTCCGTTAAATATCCTACCCTCATTATCTTCTCTGTACAAGGTCATATTGTCCTCTGAAGTGTCCTCCGGGGATTTCCGTTCATGATCGTGGATAGAAAAGGCCGCGTTGATAGGCCCACCGTAATGAAAAGCCAGAAGGGTAATGAACAGTGGGTGTAGAGCATACTCACACATTTCTTTCGAAGTGGGAGGCTTGAATTGATCAGGCATGTCCTTAGTGGTGGGGTATCCGCTTGAACCAAGTTTGGTTTCACTTGTTTCCAGCCTGTTTTCGACGCCGTCTGCCGAACCGAACGAAAAGGCCAACGCTTTGGCATGTTCAAGTGTATGAACTAAAGCCAAAAACTTGTCAAAAAGCCCATTTTCTCTGTTGTAGAAACCATGTGTTCTATTGCATGCGCCCATTGGGCAGTCTTCAACAGTTTGTCGATAGCGTTCTCTGTCTTCGAATGTACATGGAGTTAGCTGATTTGGTAGTACTCGTGTACGGCGATAGCATGAAACTCTTTCTCTAATGATCTCGCCGCACAGGGAAGCCGGGATTTGGATATCAGCTAGAAAGGGCTCTCCGACAAAATCTTGAGTTCCGGTCATTTTGGTAGCCTCAGGATGAGGTAACGAAGTCGCGTTGTACGATGTAATCAATCTTCTGTGACTATTTTATGCCTTTTAAACATACCTCTATCAGGTATAATAACTAAATTGATTATAGCTGGGATAAAGGCAGTAGGATAACAAACTATGTTTGCGACGAAGGCAACAGAACAGTAGACTATAGTTGCAACAATATAGCAGCAGAACTAACTGTTTGGGGATAAGAAAGTGACGTGACGAACTGTGGTTGCAACAAGGATAGTAGCACAGCACGGCGCACCGATGCCTATGACCGACTTGACTTGTTTACATGTATCTATTCGCTGTACAGAGTATTAGATCAATTACCTCAGAGAAGAGTAGCAGGTCATATCCTAACCTGCCGAAATCGGGTATTAAGAAAAATGGCTTTAAATTTAAAGTAAGTGGGGGCGGTGCAATGGGTTTTCTTCAGGATACCAAAATTCTTTTCCCACAATGCTAACGAGCTCTCGAGATCGAGAGGTAGAATCTCCTCCCTCCCTCTTAAAACGAAAAGTAGCTTCTAGATTTTAAAAACTGTTTCCACATTTAAATTAAATTTTCTCATAAGCTGTTAATTGACAGGAAGGGGATTTTAAATTCTAGAGCTGAACGAGCTTTTTTAAATTCTCGTTGTTTGACCACTGCACTATTTCTGAGTAAATTGTAGTCCCTAGCTACTCCAGAGAACCACTATATAGTCAATACAACAATTATCGTGCCTACTAGGTACACCCTATTAGATATACTTAGATTAACTATATTTGCCGTAAAGGCAGCAGAATAGAGAACTATCTCTTGACTTTTTTCTCTCTATTTACTATATATGTAATAAAAGGATTTAGGTAGACCTCTACAAG